ACCATATGGTTACATCTATTACTGTTAGTAACATAGACAAGGCACTGATATGTGTAGTAATATTTTGAAATATTATTATTCAGTAATTAAGTTTCAAGTCATATTTTTACAGCAGTGTAGATGTAAATACAGCTTCCTTTGTTAGATGTTCTGTTGTGGTATCGTGACTGGTTTGTACACTATGGGTAATGTTAGTTGTAATGCTGCTCTCCTATGCTGGACTAAATAGCTGTAATATTTTCATTGCATGATTAATAAACCATGTTGGAATTTTTGTCTTAAAGCGTGTGATGTCTTTTAAACATACAACTTCTTTATTTAAGGCCAGGAAAATTTTAAAATGAGGCGATTTTTTTTTTTTTTAAACCAAGCTAAAATGGAGGAAATTTGAGACAAGTGCGAGTACAAGCGCATTTTGGAATGCTTTAGAAGGGAAAAAACTTTGAGGCGCATAGTTCTAAATGATGCGCGTGGAAACTAGAAAGAGATATTTTTTTTCTCAGCCAAATGAGCATTTTAGGTAATTCTCTCAGGTGCTTGTTGATTAGCATTCAAGTGAAAATCCCCGAGTTTAGTTCCCGTTCAGACACAGATTGACCTCCATCCGTGCCCACCTTTATCTTAGACATGTTTTGTAAACACCTGTTACAATGAAACTTCACACGTACATCATGCATCTTGGGGTACGTATGCACGTCTGTTCATTTTCACGATCTGATTCAAGATGGCCGGATGTTAAAATTCATCAAATTCTGTTATCTCAAACCCAGATCTTGATTATACATGCACAGTTATTGACCATTTTGGTACACACAATGAACATGTACCCGGTATATAACAGAATCCTGTTTTTTCAGATCAGGTTCAAAATGAACCTGCAAAATTATGTCGGAGCCATGACATGCATCGACTCATTTCAGTTTTGTTCACTAATTAACTGGGAATTGTTTCACATGATTACTCGAATTCTTGTTCCTTGATGGTGCTGAAGCAAAATAATCTTGTTTGTGAGAGAGAAAAAAAAGAGACACAAGCCAGCCAAGGTTCATTTATTCGACAATATGAATTCGCACTACAATCCTGTATTCACTGTCAACAAAATAAAAAATGACAGTATGTGCTCTGGAGTGTTTCAATGGTAAATGGACGTCTTGTGACGAGTTTCCATGAAGTCGGGTTATGACAGAAGGCAGCAAAGTCTGTTGGTTGAAATTGGTGCAAGTTGTTACAGGAATGTTGATTGATGGATCCAGCTTCATTGCGTGCCAATTCTATTTAACAGATCAAATGCAGCTTTCCCTAAACACGATCACTCACATAGGGATTGCCATAGATGATCGTATCTTTCCGTCATCCATGACATGACATGAGCAAGGTGAAAAGAAAAATACTTATTATCTCTCCATATTTAAGGTAGTGTCCAAGTCCATTTGAACCCTATTGTTTTTCTTCTTCCACAGTTACTTTGTGGCCTTAGAATGGATGCAATTTTACTAGGGGAAACCATCTTGTAATTAATAATAAAAAATGTTTTTATTGATATTTCCTACATTAAATGTATCAACATGTCTACAAGATTTCAACAGATTTAAAAGTCAACTTGCTCCACTTGTGAACAATTTTTAAAAAATTAAAATAAAAAAATATTTTTGAATGTAATCATCAGTAAAAGAATTCTATTTTTAAAAAAAATCAGCTGCAATCTAATCAAGCAGTATTTTCCATCCACTTGGAATAAATTTTAATAACTACATGTAATCATTTTGGTTTGGTTTAACAAAAAAATAGTGAAAGATAGTGCATTGACTATGTTGCAAATTAGTGCACTGACTATGTTTAGGTTATAAAATGACACGCCCTTTATACAGTGATTTCAAAACCATGTATGAAGGGCGTGTCATTTTATAACCAGTTTCTAACATGGCAACAATTTGCAACAATTTATTCAATTTTATTTTTGTTTTGTGCGGTACAGTTGTTGAAGTACATTAACATCGCGGTACAGTTCAGGATAATAAAATGCTGCATTAGATTAACCAATCATGTGTGTTCTTTTGACAATCTCCTGTTAATCAAGATCAGTTGACAAAGCCATGTTCTAACTAACTTCTCTCAATTTATGCAGAGAATATAAATTGTGAATCCGGTGATCTGATTGGTGGAGGGCGCATAGCCATGTTAGAAATTGCAAATTAGTGCATTGATTATGTTGCAAATTAGTGCATTGACTATGTTGCAAATCAGTGCACTGACTATGTTGCAAATCAGTGCACTGACTATGTTGCAAATTAGTGCACTGACTATGTTGCAAATTAGTGAACTGACTATGTTGCAAATTAGTGCATTGACTATGTTGCAAATTAGTTCACTGACTATGTTGCAAATTAGTTCACTGACTATGTTGTAAATTAGTGCACTGACTATGTTGCAAATTAGTGCACTGACTATGTTGCAAATTAGTGCGCTGACTATGTTGCAAATTAGTGCACTGACTATGTTGCAAATTAGTTCACTGACTATGTTGCAAATTAGTTCGCTGACTATGTTGCAAATTAGTTCGCTGACTATGTTGCAAATTAGTGCACTGACTATGTTGCAAATTAGTGCATTGACTATGTTGCAAATTAGTTCATTGACTATGTTGCAAATTAGTGCACTGACTGTGTTGCAAATTAGTGCACTGACTATGTTGCAAATTAGTGCATTGACTGTGTTGCAAATTAGTTCACTGACTAAGTTAATGTTAAAGAATATGTATGTATACAGAAAGCCTGCATATAAACGTAACAGAGCAGTTAATTTATTGCCGCAGCTACGTAACAATAACAGACAGGATATTTTTTTTCAAAATACAATCTTTATCCAGTTCTTTTTTTTTTCTCTATCAACAAATTCGACGAGGTTTTTGAGGAAATCTTTACCAGTAATCATTACAAATTTTGCACACAATCAGTGCTATCATATTGTTAGATGTAAATCTACTACCGTAAAATCTGAATTAGAAACCACATCCTAATAGAAGACACACCCATTCTTTTTAAATAATTGAGAACCAAATATTTACTATTTCTCATATGTGTAGATGCTCTAATAGAAGCCACATCCCCTCTGTTGCATTGTACCATTTTAATAGAAGTCGCAGCTTCTAATACAGATTTTACAGTAATAAGTAAAACACAGGTTTTCTGGATCACGTCGTGTTGTCTGTACACTAATTAGTGACATTGTTCTAGATCTATTAAAAGATCTATAAAAAGAAAAAGTTTAGCGGACTTTCTTTGATTTGATTCCGTTGGTGACACTGCCATTCTTAGACGACTTTTGAGTTTTTGTCTTGTGACTATCCTTGTAAGTTTTCAGATAAAAATTGAAGAACATTACGATAAAAACAAACGCATATAAAAATATTAGGAATGCGAAAAACTTGGGATAGGAACAGTCAGTAAAAAGAAGTTGACTTGTGTGAAGCATTACCAATGCGAACTGCGTCTGTGAATCAAATTGAGAAAGAAATATTATGGGATATCACAACGGCTGGCAACACTGCAATTAATTTGGAATTGGTTGGCAGGCCAGTTTTCTTCATTTGAAAATTCTGTACAGAGAGGGCACTGTTCTACTAACCTTTACTTTAGATTTGTTATTCAGTGTATTACAGACACGGTAAATACATTTTGTCACCAACTTTGGTTTTTACATGTCACACATAATGCAGGATCATGCAGTGAATAGAAAAAATGGACTGCAGGGCTTCATTCACAGCTAGTACTAAGACCTTTTTGGAATAGACCTAAGATTGCTAGATTTCATGTATATTGATCTTCAGCAGCCCCCCCCCCTTCCACCCAAAATGACAACATTGAGTCCTTAATGGTACTGTGAAATACTTTATTTTCGCTTCGAATTAATTTTTGCTATTTTCGCTGAATGAATGATTCAGTGAAAATAAAATCCAGTGAATATACCTTTTTTCTTGCACTTTGCATTCAACTCATCAATAATCAGTGAAAATAAATTCCATACAAAACACCCAAAACGTCTTTTCAGCGAAAATTTATTCCAGCTAAAATAAAGTATTTTACAGTATCAGAAAGGCAGTTCAAGTCTTAATTTCATCTCAGTTATTTTCCATGAGAAAATGTGTAGTCTAATCAGCCAAATATCCCTGAAAGTCAGCCTACAGAGATGTACCATGTATGACCATACGAGTTGCTATGGAAACAGTACTTACAATTTGCATAGAGGTCATATATTTTTTCCACCACAAATATTTCTGCATGCTAGGTCCCATAGCTGCCATTCCATAGTAAGTGTACATCCAAAAATGGATAAACGAATTCAATAGAGAATGAAAAGTACCAAAACCACCTGTAAATAAATAAAAACAGTCATATCAAAAAATGTCCGCCAGTAGATCAAAGGTTAACCAAATAAAAAACAAATTCAAATGTTTATGTATCCTATTATTAATTGTCTTTGTTCCAATTTTGAACAAAATCGGTACAGGCATATTCAAGAAATGATGAGTGGACATAGATGAAGGATGAAAGACAGTGAAGACTTGGAAAGGTTTGACTGAATAAATGAAAATGAGCGAATTTAAGAACGTATTCAAAAATACAAAACTCACGCAGTGCACACTTGTGAATAAAGCAAGGACACTAGCAAAAAAACATTTCAGAATCACAGAATCACTCATTTGCATTATTTCTAGAAAAGTATATACATATCATCACACAAGTCTCAGGACTCTCATACTCTTATAAATCCATGATATATATTCAAATCCACTATTTTTCGACTGCCATGTGACAAATTCTCAGAATAAAACTGACTACTGTAAAGGGGTTAATTATTCACTGGGTTTTAATTTTGCTTATTTCGCCAACTGAAACATGCGCTAAATTAAAACCCAGTGAATATGTAAAATTGAGCATAGAACACATTATCTAAATGATAAAACCGTGAATTTGCCTGAAATGGTAAATCAGCGAAATTAAAACCCAATGAAAATTAGCCATTTTACAGTATAGTTGTTAGCCAAAGTGACATACCTGCAACGAACTTAACACCATACCACCAACTGACTGGCATAATAGCATGATGGAGCACATGTAGAAATGAGATCTGTTTTGTTTTTTTCCTCAAAACAAAGAATATCTGAAAAAAATAAGACATTATAATCATCCAGTTCAATTCAGTTTAGTAAAAACACAGAATCTTTTTTTCAGTTGTGAAATCGATTATAAAGTGGTTTTCATCTATCTGTGATATTAATTATTAAACGAGTTTGTATTTGAAAATACATCATTTTAATTCACAGTTTATTAATTGGCAGACAGGTAGAAACCAAAGTACTAATTTAAATAAAGTAGTGTAATGTTATTACTGTATAGCAACCACTTAATATACCTCATTAAAATTGTCATTATAGACAGGTGGTCTTCATAAAGAGGTTTCGTTATTTTTTTATGGATTATCAACTCACACGTTTGATATAATATTTGTCTAGAAAATAATAGGATGGTTATACTGCTACAACAAAAACACATTTGAGTTGATCAAAATCAAATAAACTTGACTTGAAGAATTGTTTTATATACAGACTGTTGATTGATTACTTTGGTCTCTAAACAAAGGCAAATCTGCAAAAACATTGGTTGTCACATCCTTATACACAGGTTGCTCATTAATTATGCCTAAAAGTGGTCACTATATGCAGGTGGTCTTTATATAGAGGTGGTAACTAACACAGGTTTTACTTTATTTGAACTATTGGGGTACATTCACAGTGATTTTGATATACTGGTAGTATGGTAAAATAACTAATATTTGAAAATTTTAGTTGACTCACCGTATCAAATAATTCAAAAAACTTTGAGAAATAAAATAACCAACAAACACGAACCATCTGTAAAAAATAAACAAATACATTTAATATTAAAATACATGAATGAATGGAATAACAGATTAGAGCATGCTGCCTATTACATAATTTGGTAACCATAGAATTACTGTATAAACCGCTTTCCTGTTTTATAGGAGCAAAATTGCACATGCGTCAGATGGCCATAGCGTGTCATTGTTTACAAACAAGTACCATGAGTCTTTGCGTTTGTAGCGTGTGTTGTTATTGTCGCTTGGGATTCAATTTCAGCGCGTGCGCAGGTGACGACCCTCCCACTTCAAATAACAATAGAGCTGATTATTTTCTGCCAGGTTTGTGAAATTTAAAACCCAGTGAAATTCCTCAAAGCACCAAAATAGTGAAACTAAATGCCAGTGAAAATAAATACAAAATGTATGAATACAATAAGTAATAGTATCCCAACACTATTTAACACTTTGTACACTATAATTTTTGCTCGACAAACTTGGTGCAACATTCTGCCTTTTTTCATGTATTTTTCAATATTTTTTTTTGATAGTTCTGAATCAAATAGACATAATTTAGTTTCATCTAAAACATTTTGGAAACAATTCTGAGAACGTATTTTAGTTTAAAATTTGTGATGATAACACAAGTTTTTGATACTCGAAGGTGTAATGTAATTGAGTGAAACGTTTTATGTTGATTTCAAATAATTATTTCTGACCTCATCCATCAACTAGTGTATAATGGCAGCAGATTAGACATACAGAAGACATCATTCAATTGTATTCCCATCTTATGAATATGCAAAAACACAGATAGAGAAGTCAATAGATGGAGTAATGTGATCGATTTGGGATTCAAAGTCACCAATCAAGAACAGTATTACCGGTACTCTAATAAGTCACTTATTTATTGTACACTAGATCATTAAAGGGCAGTGGTTGTCACGTAGCGCATGCTCGAATTTCATGAAAACAAACAATGTATTTTACACATGTGTGTACGTCGCTATGAGTCCCATACCGAATAGGTCGCGGCATGACGACCACCACCCTTTTCAAAATATGACTTATTTTGATCAAATAAAATGATCATGTTATATCTTACCCGGAGAGCTTGAGGACTAGATGAATAGTCGACCAATTGACATCCTAGCGTGTATCCTGCTAGCCATCCCGACGCTAAGAACTGAAATGAAACATTCAGATTTCAAATATCAAACGTGATTGGTCAGTAAAGAAAAACCAGGTGGTTTTGCAATTGCATGTATTTCAAGTTTTGGTAGCAATGATCTAGACAACAATGCATTTACTGTAAAACACTTATTTAAAACACAAATTTAAAATGGCTCAATTCATATTAATTTGGCAAAAGTTTCATTGTGAGAATATGAAGTTATTACGGGGATACCTCAAAATATGCACAAAGATTCAACCGATGCGCAGTGCAGTGTACTGTCTGAGGGCATACTTTGAGGTATCCTTGTAATAACCTTATTATTATACATCTTTTCCTTCCAAGGATACATCATGGGAATGCCAAAATCCACAAAGTTTAGAACAGAATTAGCGAACTTCTTTGTGTGGAGTCCGGTCAAACCCTGGTGGCAGCCATGTTTGTTTTTATTATTAGAGAACACGTAATCATTCCATATTTGGAATTCACATTTCCTTATATGGTATGATGAAAATACCTCGTAAAATACCGCAAAATTACGGCACACTGTAACTTATGGCGTTACGGTGACAGGTGTATAATTATATACTTTATTTTAGCATTAGCTAAATCAAAAAAATAGCTAAAATAACATGTTACACATTGATATCTAGTAGGACCACTAGATCTAAAATTATATATTCACTAGGTCACATCTGGTCTATAATTAGCATGAAAAGGGATAAATAAGGTTTTTGTTATTATTGGTCTTGCATAAACTTTCTACTTCTGTTGCATACATCCATTAGTAAGTCTATCTAGTCTCTGTCAGTAAACATCCATCCAACTCTTCCATTTTGGACTTTTCACCAAATAACATGAGATTGCATTCATAATTACTGTAGAATACTTTATTTTCGCTTGGAAATAATTTTCGCTGAAGGAATGATTCAGTGAAAATAAAATCCAGCGAACATAATTTTTTTCCTAAATTTTACATTAAACTAAATTACATACTAAATTACATACTAAATTACATACTAAATTACATACTAAATTACATACTAAATTACATACTAAATTACATACTAAATTACATACTAAATTACATACTAAAAATCCCAAAAAGTTTTTTCAGCGAAAATTAATCAAGTATTTGATAGTACAAAAAAAGCTGATGTTTTTTTTCTTACTTTTTCAGAACTGCACAACAACCTACCTCTGTTGGTAAATTGATTAAACCTGGTAAGTTTGTGTGCCAACATTTTTAGCAAAAAATATAAACATGCCTCATCGCCAAATTTTAAGAAAATTTGAATCAAAACATTTTTTATTTTTCACATGGCCTTACTTTCGTCATGTTTGAATTTAAAACCAAGAATCTATATTTTTTAGTATTTGTAACAAATTGGCTGACAGATTGGCTGACAGGTGCTGGTTATTATTCATGGCCCATGCAGATTGGCTGACAGGTGCTGGTTATTATTCATGGCCCATGCAGATTGGCTGACAGGTGCTGGTTATTATTCATGGACCATGCAGATTGGCTGACAGGTGCTGCTTATTATTCATGGCCCATGCAGATTGGCTGACAGGTGCTGTTCAATTCAAAACTTATATAATTGTACTCTTCTTCAAAAGTATAAGCCAGATTTCATTGAAAATGGCGGTAAATTACCCCATCAATCGACATGTGTGTGCTGCATGCAAGGTGTGAACTCATCTCAGTTGAAACTGGGTCAATATATTTGCACACAGTTCCTCTGTGATTTGCAGTACAAGGTTTGAAATCTGTCCATGCCCATCCCTAAACTAGGATCAATGAATAACTAACTGAACAATATAAAGTGTAGTGTAAAGTTTACAGAGCGATGTTCGGAATGGAACACTTATCTTTTGACAAACAAGCATGAATGCAATTAACATGAGGTCAAATGTCAAGTTTGACATTGTCAGAAAAACATGTTAGTATCTATGTGTTATTCTAATTTTTATTATTATGAAAATTTGATTTAATTCATACCAAAAATCATGAAATATCACCATGTATTCAGATTACATGTGTGATTGATACAATTTAAAGTGCATTGCACGGACTTTGAGGTAACCATGGTAATAATGAGAACAAAGCAGTACAAAGTATCATACATGCAGACACCACTTGTCACTCATCATCGTCTTCATCTGTGTGAACAGGTGACGCCAGCAATATTTGTTAACAGGCGAGTAATAGTTGGAGGTCCAACAAGTTAGCAATTATTAAACTAATCAGTCTGTATACTGATATACCGGTACATGTATACATATATACATTGCTTGTAAATTATTTTTTATTTTTAAAAAGTTTTTTTTTTCTTGAATATCAAATGTGATATGTCACAGTTTAATTAAAAAAAAAAAATGAACAAGCAGCCTGTCGGCTGTGATAGCTCCGCTGTTAGCAATGCACATTTCAATTAAAGAACAGAAGATATCATTAGAAAATGAACAATATGTATAGTGTCAAAGCAATCAGACGTGCGGTTTTCAATAGGAAGTCAAAAATATCACTTTTTACCAAAAATTACAAAAAATATTCACTAAAATTAGAGAATTAAAGATATCATCACTAAATGAACAAATCTGAGAAAAGGTCTACATGTAGTACCTATATATGTATCAAAGCAATTCGACTTGCGTTTTTCTACAAGAAGTCGAAAATATGACTTTTTACCAAAAATTACAAAAATATTCATCAAAATTAGAGAATTGAAGATATCATCACGAAATGAACAAATCTGAGAGAGGACCACATGTAGTATCTATATATGTAATATCAAAGCAATTGGACTAGCGATTTTTAACTAAAAGTCGAAAATATCACTTTTTACTAAAAATGACAAAAATATTCACCAAAATTAGAGAATTGAAGATATCATTACAAAATGAACAAATCTGAAAGAGGTCCACATTTAGTACCTATAAATGTAATATAAAAGCAATTAGACTTGTGGTTTTTACCAAGAAGTTGAAAATACCACTTTTTACCAAAAATTACAAAAATATTCACCAAAATTAGAAAATTAAAGATATCATTACAAAATGAACAAATCTGAGAGAGGTCCACATGTAGTACCTATAAATGTAATATTAAAGCAATCAGACTTGTGGTTTTTACCAAGAAGTTGAAAATACCACTTTTTACCAAAAATTACAAAAATATTCACCAAAATTAGAGAATTGAAGATATCATTTCAAAATGATCAAATCTGCAAGAGGTCCGCATTTAGTACCTATATATGTAATATCAAAGCAATCGGATTTGCGGTTTTTAACAAAAAGTCGAAAATATCACTTTTTACCAAAAATGACAAAAATATTCACCAAATAGAGAATTTGAGATTTTGGCATGAAATGAACAAATCTGAGAAAGAACCATCCAAGGTACTTGTATATCAAATTTGAAAACATTCTGATTTGCGGTTTCGAAGAAGAAGTTGAAATGGTAAAGTTGACGACAATGGACGACGACAACGGACGACGACAGACAATCAGTAATATGTCGACAACAGAGCTAAAAAAAAATCACCACAAAAGTCTATTACATCTTTAATTGACTGTGTACACCATACCGACTAATCCCTCAGTAAACAGCATGCATCTAATATTTTTTTTGTTTAACACTGACCAAACAGGCGTTTTCCATTCCAAGGAAATGTAAACATGTATCTCACAGATAAATACTGGAGAAGACGTCACTAAAAAGTACCACAAAAAATTCATAACTGGTAATATGCTGAGCAGAACAGTTATATCAATAGATAATTTTTCGTTCAGAGCGAGATCTTGTATAATGCATGAAAGGTGCAGGTCGCACGTCTGCCACAAAAATCAAACAGTTTGATTTTGAACTTTTATAGTTCAGTGTCAAAATTACTGATTGAATATGGCATTGAGATACCCTTACTTCATCAAAATCGACCCTCATCAAATGTGTACAATAAATTATTGAGTGTGGAAATACCCACAAAGTACTTCTGTGTTTGTTGAATCCCACAAGATGTTTTGACACCACCATGACCTTTGTTTGTCCTCTTTAGCTCCGCTGTCGACTTTGTCGAGCGGAGCTTATCATATGAGTGATTGTCCGTCGTCGTCCATCGTCCGTGTCAATGTTTTACTTTTTCAACATCTTCTTGAAAACTACAAGCCTGAATGCTTTGATACTTGGTGTATATGTACACCTTGGGTAGACCTCTCTCAGATTTGTTCATTTCATGATCATATCTTCAATTCTCTAATTTTGGTGAGTGTTTTTGTCATTTTTGGTAAAAAGTGATATTTTCGACTTCTTGTTAAAAACCGCAAGTCCGATTGCTTTGATACTACATATATAGGTACTACATGTGGACCTCTCTCAGATTTGTTCATTTCATGATGATATCTTCAATTCTCTAATTTTGGTGAATATTTTTGTAATTTTTGGTAAAAAGTGATATTTTCGACTTCTTGTTTAAAACCACAAGTCCGATTGCTTTGATATTACATATATAGGTACTACATGTGGACCTCTCTCAGATTTGTTCATTTTGTGATGATG